GCCCCCTCACATATACTAATGTGCCACAAACAGGACTTTAATATCACCAACCATTCCCATTTTATTACGGCGTATCCATAGAAATGGCCCACCCTGTATATCTAAAAATTTTGTAAACTGAAATTTCAATTCTCACTATTTCTTGGTATTTGATTCTACAATATTCAAATAGACATATTTGTTTTGCGAAGCGCCTACCTTGTGCTAACACTGCAAAGTAGAAAAGCTTTTTGCACACTGTAAACCTGTGCTTTACTGCTATCAGGAGTCCACATGAATCTGTTGGTGTGCCATAGGTTGTCGCCTCTGGGTGTCCATAAAACAGCATCATTAGAAGGTGACAAAGAGCTCGTTCTTCCAGTGTTGCGACATTTTTCTGCAATTTGAAAACATCCAGGGAGTTAAAAATGCAGGTGGATGAGTGGAGAGTGGGTGTTTACCCATTGTGTTTCATCTAGAGAGAGTGGGAAGTGATCTGTTATCCTCTTACTGTACAGTATATACCGTACACCTCTGAGAGCAAGCTAGTGCGTGAGTGTGTAGGTGTTTGTCAAGCTTTTTAGTGTTTCTCCCCTGTGAAATAAATTCTTTCTTTCATTAATTCTTAGGCATCTTTACATTTGAAAGTGCCACTCAGAGGGTGAGTGAAAGTGTTGGCGTGATGGAGGTGAAGGTGCTCAGGACGTCGGGGGCTCGAGGCCTGGTCGCCATTCCCTATCGAACCTTGGATGGAACCGCTAAGGGAGGGGAGGACTACGAAATGGCTGCAGGCAAGCTGGAGTTTCAGAATGATGAGACCATGTGAGTACCTCGCTGTTGTCTGCATGACATTTCATCCACCTTTGAACACCGTCCTGGTGTATTTTTTACATTTTGCGGTTGGTGTGACATCATATGGAGACTGGGACATTTTTGGATCAACATTGACACCCTCACATTTCCTCTGTTTTCCTTCCTGTGATTGATTTCTATTCAGAAATTGCTGTGTAGGTTAATCAAGTATTCTGCTGTATAAATGGCTCTATTAGGTAGATAACAGTGTAATAATGTCACATTTCCAGGCAGGCTTCTCTGCATTAAATGCTTGCAAACACATGGGTGCACACATACACATTCATAAAATTGCTCTTGCGTCCTTGGGCGCATGCATTTTTAATATGCTGAAGTTAGCGGTGTTAAATTGACCAATACATAAAATGGTTGGGAATGCAGTTTCTCCAACGCCACTCGGGGCCCATAAAGCAAGCCCTCTGCGTACGTGTGTGTGTAAGAGTGTGTGTGGTTTCACATATCTATATGTATGAGGACCAATTAGACTTTTAGATGTAAGCGTGAGGACATCTGCGCATAATTTAAGAATATTTTATTAGATTGACAAGGTTACAGTGAATAAGGACTGAGCCAGGTGGTGTTATGACATTGGTGTGTTTTCAAAAGCTCTGTGTGTGTGTGTGTGTGTGTGTGTGTGTGTGTGTGTGTGTGTGTGTGTGTGTGTGTGTGTGTGTGTGTGTGAGGTTTAAGTTTAAACCTAGATTTAGGTTTTTGACCCTTTGGGGGATATTTGCCTTCAAAGTTCTGCTTGAGAAGAACAATTATGGCTTTGGAGTTAAGATTAGAACTAAATGTTGGATAAGGTGAAGGGCCGGTGTTCTATTTAGTGGTTTGCGATTGCAAAAGATTAGAATTTACAAATGAGCACAAACGTCTGACACCAGCAAACCTCTAAGCAGAGCGTCTTTAAAGCACAGGTCATAGCGTGTTCTTGTGCGTTTGGGACGGAGCAATGTGCTGATGGTGCAGTCACTGCTGCAAGGTCAGGGAGAGATGAAAGGGAGTGCGAGAGAAGCTAAAGCAAACGACAAGAGTTAAATGTAATCAAACAATGCAAACTGTAAAGCTGAGGCAGTCTTCTGAGAGCTGCTGTTATGTGAGCACAGGAGGTTAAATAGAAAGCTGGTATCAGTGGGTCTGAGACTGCAGCAGATCAGATTAGCTGAAAGTGAAACTATTGGTGGTGTGTTTGCTAAAGAGGATTAAAAAGATAACTTAGTAGAGTGTGTTTCAACCATGAGAGATTGCAACATTGTGGGTCAAGCATAAGCAGCAATGAGCGTCTTCCTCTGCTGGATGTAGATTAGTAGTGAAGGGCATGTTTTTATGAAGCATCGGAGAATAACTCAGTGTATATATGGGAGTCATGGAGTCATAGTTAATGTATTTAATATTCTTAAAGGAACTGCTACAGAACGTGCATATAAACGACTGCTGCAAAAACAAAAAGCTATTGATTCTGATTCTGCTGATCTACATCAACCAACAGTGTATGTTAGTTAGTTTAGATTGCTAAAGCCAAAGTCACACAAGCATAGAGACCAGTCAGTCATGCACTGGTAACCACCACTCGCTATGGAAAAGTGTTGTCCCAGATCAGTTGGTGAGTGGTTGCAGGAGGTTGTTTGCAAGGTGAAAATGTTGGCAAAAAACAAAAACGCTACATCCAGATGAACCGAATCAACTTTTGGGGATTTCCTTAGCTTTTGCTACAGCTCTGTGGTTAGTTAGCAAGTGTCTGCTAGCAACCAAAGCACTTGCAAAAGAAGCTGAGATGCCTTCTGTGACTGAGACTGTGAGCTGAGCAGGAATGGAGGCAGTGTATAGTTTGCATCAAATACAAAAGCAAAAGCAAAGACGCTGAGAGGCCTTGAAGCTGTTGCTTCAGACGAGCAGGGTGACTGCTGGGGAAAGGAGGGGGTGGATCGATAATCCAATGTTTCCATGTAAAGGAGCGTGAGCCAGCTGAGCGAGGGATATGCTGGTGAGAAAGCCCCTGTGGTAAATTGATCTATCCATCCTGGCGTCTCCCGCCTCGCTCCTTCTATTCTTCACCTCTGCATTTACTCCCCGACCCTAACCTTTCATCTCCTCGCTCTTTTCGCCGGTCAGCGCTTATAACTAATTTTTCCTTTGCTTTTTCTCCATGTGATATTGTTTTTTATACTTAAATAAGTCTATCCATCCACTTCTGATTCACGAGAAACCCAATCAGTTCTCGACTTTGGGTTTAAGGTGGCTCGATCTGCCCTCGTTATCAGTAACTGGCTCTTTCTCTTTACAGTTTTACCCCTTTCGTTCTCGTCTCACTCCCTCTCTCTCTTACTTCACTGATTCAGTCCGTGCTCACTTATTGTTCATCTTCTCTCGCTGCTGCCCCTCTCTGCGTGCTTTCTCTTTTCATCATTGTGCTTTTGAACTACTTGTCAAAAATCCTCCTGCACACTAATGTGAACCTGCTTTAATCTGCTGCACTCGTTTCTCCTTCTCCCTCTGCTTTCTGCCTTTGCCTCATCACATTTCTGTAGTTCATCATGTTTTCTCCATACTAATCTCTCACATATTTTCCTGGCATATTTTTAGATGAGTTTTCTCATGCCCTCCTCCTACTTCTCCACCTTTTCCTCATACCTCACCTCCCATCACTCTCCTTTCTCACTTATCCCTCGCTTCTGCGCACCTTTGACTTCTCTTCATTTGCATCTGCCTTTCACCTTTTGCTTGTTTACATTGTCAGACTTTTCCTTCTCTTCTCCCTTCCTCTCGCTCTACCTGGCACCTTTATTTCCCTCCACCTTCTCTTCTTAATTACATCCTTCTCCCCATCTTCTCCAGCCAACATCATAAGAACAGGGACTTGCTGCCAAAGCAATTCAGCTGGATCACAACCCAGACATAACTCAGTGTCCACACGCCTCCCTCCACTTCCTTGAGTTCTCCTCCAATCTGTGTAATTGTTTTGTTTACCCTCTTTCGCCTATATCCTGCATTTAAGCAACCCCACATTAATCTGTCATTCACACTGTCTGCCGAAATGAGCTTTGCTTAAAGCTCAGGAAAACGGTAAAGCGGTGATAGGAGGAGAACGGACTGAGACGGGGGAAACATGACGAAGGGCGAGTCAGGTGCAGCTGAAAAAAATCTTGTGGGAAATCTAAAAGTTGCTGGAGCTGAACTGACAGGAGGAGAGGAAAAGCGAAGTGAAGAGAAGGAAGAGGCGCTTCCACTCGATTTCATTATAGAAGATAATGTAATGCTACGCTGAGCCCACAAAGGAAAAGCCCTTTTTTCTTTTGCCTCCCTACATCACAGATACTCCAAGAGGTCGTGCTGAAGGTGTCCGCTCTCAGAAGCCCAAGATGGAGCCTCCCTTTATTAAGCAAAACCATTTTTACACATTAATGTCAGTCGTGAGGAGAACTACTCAACCTGCACATCCTCTTAAAAGGAAGACGAAGAAGCAGCTTTCAGATTTCTGAAAATAAACCCAGATGATGTCATCATTCAAACAGAAATCCAGCTTTAAAAACCGGGTGTGTGCCGCTTGAAGGAGCCTGTCACGTATGAGGGCTCCCGCAGAAGCGAAGTGAAACTAAAACTTTAATGCAGCAAACACCTAAAGCTCTACCGTTACACTGCAAAGTACGTGACAGGAGAAAAATGACGAATGTGGCCACATACACGCGTAACACAAAAGCGACCGTGTTAGCCAGTTCTTGTATCACTTTCTGGGATGGAATACATCAGTGTTATGAGATACAGATGCACGTATCAATATTTAGATGTCTCAGTTGCATCAAGGCGTCGACCTAACAGCATAAGCAAGTCTGTGGGTGAGTCAAGTCGGACCTGAATACGGTGCTGTGCAGTTCACTCAGTCACATTCAATTAAATTTTATTCATATTGCACCAAATCACAGCAACAGTCACCTCAGTATTGTAAGGTAAAGACCCTGCAATTATGCAGAGAAAAAAACCCCAAACAATCGAAGGACCCCTGTGAGCAAGCACTTGGTGACAGTGGGAACAAAAAACTCCCTTTTAACACAGGAAAGGACAGCCATCTGCCATGACCAGTTGGGGGGGAGGAAGACAGGAGAAAAGACACACCGTTGAAGAGAGCCAGAGATTAATAATAAATAATGATTAAATCCAGAGTGATATGTAAACACAAATGGGAGGATCCAGTATATGTAAAAGTATATGTTACCCACCATAGCACTGTGCATCTACATTTCTTTACTGTCTGGACTCCCATTAAATGCTGCAGCAATGAATTAATTCTCTCTCTGTTCAGCTAATTAATGAATGAATGTTTTTTTTTAATTACCCTTTTGTTTTTCCCCATCGGACTTCACAAGCTTTGCTCCGTTTTCTGTCTGCAGGTCTTTATCTGCCGCCTCTGCCTTTGGTAGGCCTTTGTTAATCAGAGGGCGTGTGAGTACTATATACAGAAGCAGGAAAGAGAGGGATACGCTCAGTAGGGTCTGTTTATTCTTAGCCTCCCTATGACCTGCAGCTTAGTGCAGATTCACAGCCAAGCTGCAGAAAAATGTGTGTGCGTGCGTCTGTGGCTGTGTTTGCGTGTGGTCCACTCCCCTGGCTGCTCATTATAAATTTGAAACAGGTGTCGCCACCGAACTGTGCCAACGCCTGTTCAATTACTGCCTTGCACTGTGTGTGTGCACGTGTGCATATAGTGTGCACTCACTTTACATACCAAAGCATCCTTACCATTTCTGGGACTTTTTTAAAGTATGTGAGCATATGAATGATGAGGTATTTAACTTCGACTGAGTTCTGAAAAATGCTCTGCAGCATATGTGTTATGGGTTGTTGTCTTTTTTGGGGGGGGGGGGGTCATTGTTTTGTTTTGTTTTTTGTCTGGTTTTGTATGGTAGCTGGGATAGGCTCCCAAGATCCCCCTCCCTGCTTTACCCTGATAAGGATAGGTGGAAGAGGATGGATGG